GACATATCCATTGACCACCTCAACATGTCGCCTTCAGGTGGATGAATTGGTTACGCAGGAAGCTACTAGGGACTGATAATGGCTGAATACCGATAATATACGAGTTTTTAAGGTATTACCTAATGGGTTTTAGGTAAAAGTTTAAATACATCATGAAATAATAAAAGAAACGGTAGTACAATGAGCTTGTGACCTATCGCAATCGTCATATCGATGTCGATATCGCTACGGGCGGTGTCGAAACCGTCCGTTTCGTTCTTCGTTCGCTGGACGACAACCGTCGGATTAAGTTTTCTTCTCCAGTGCTGTAGGCGATATCCGGATGGACTCTTCGAAGCTTCCCCGGCAAAGTAGAGGTGGGTATTTGTTCCGTAGTAATCCATTTTGGACTGTAATTCTGACCTTCCCCAATTGACGTGTCGACACGGGCTGTATCGAGACCGCCTATTGTCTTTTCCGTTCCATGGCCCGGCCGATTTTGGTGCTGTACTCGATAATCGAATATCGCTTACAGGACCGAAGAGGACGACTTCATAAGGAGATCGACAATTCTCCATAGCCACCCAGCAAGCTGGAGGTAGGTTCGATTTGCTTACATTAATCTAGTTTTGCGTTTCGAGCAGCGTTCGGGAAATTGGTGTTCCTTTTGCTTGTCGGATTGCTCTCCATTGCAAGTTACTCTCTTGGTATACTAATATTCCAAGTTAGTAATTTGCAATGGATATAAAACGGAATAAAGGGCAGTTTACAGAAAGGTGGAGCTCCGTTTCCGTACTCTGCTATTCACTCCTCTTAATGTCCTCCGCTTTGTTTATACGTAGCCACTTGCTACAACATGGTGAAAATTTAGATGGAAGGGGAAGGGAGGTGACACCTCAAACACCTAACGCCGAAAAGAATAGTAGGGAGGTAGCCGACTTCGCCTGTAATTTTGGTCGAAACTGGGTCTGGGGCGTGAAGCTTTCTGTCTAGGCCCGAGAAATAAAGAAGCACCGGTGTGGGTGAGTGCTGTCTCGGCAAGAATGGTGTGCTATCGCTACTTCTCACGCTTTTGGATATGAATGGATCGATGGTTAATTGAATGTTCAATTCTTCCACCATACTATCTTTTTGCAAGAAGCCAAATAAAGAAAATTGTAAACAATTATAAAAAGTTGAAGTTTTTGGCGTTAATCAATCCCGTTGAGGGATGCGCCCCGCACTCGACTTTACATACGCACTCATTACGCCATTCTGAAGTAAACAATTATAATGAACAATTTTTTGAAAAGCAACCCCCCTCCCTATCTAGTAATTAAAAATCTCAATGTATAGCATTCAATGAGTTTTGAAAGACGATCGCCCCAGTTTGGCCAACATTGCCTCTATACTTCGTAGTTGATACCTACAGTAGCGCTCAAAAGTCTTCGGTGAAATGGCTCTTCAGCCGTACTTTTCGGTCGTAACTTCTTTCCTACTTGATCTAATCGAACGAAATTTCTATATTTGTCGCATGGGTGTATTGTGAATATTTACCACTATTAACCTGCAATCTGATCATGTTCCAGATATTCCAAAGAGCATGAACTCAAAATCGACTGAAAATACAGATGATGGTCCTTCTAGAATCTCTTCCCTTTTTATCATGTCTAAAGTGTACGAGCGGTAACGCCAAACACAATGGATGAGAAAAAAGCCTATAAGGTGCGAATAAGTGCAGATGTCAACAAGTTTAGTTTTAGCAAAAACTGCCACCGCAACAAACACCTTGCCCTATCCGTGGATATTGCAGCTTCTCAGTCAAGCTGTGTTGGGTAGGATAAAATATGCTCTAGTTAAACATATCGAAATTTTGCGCGATTTTGTCTACTAACAAAAAAGTTATGAACGAAGAAGCGCCAAAGCATTTCACCGAAGACTTTTGAGCGATACTGTATTTGATTGCATTGATATTGCATAGGTATCGACCCGTGTACGTATTGATGTTTTTTATCAATGCATGAGTCGATACCCATGCATTGATAAAAAACGGGTCAACATACCACACCACACGGTAAAGGACCAGGCTATTTCTACACAAGCAATCGAAAGCAACAAACAAACAATTGAACTATCAAGAATTTACCCAAGAAATTTTACAAAATACAAAGGCCCGAGAAAAGATTCAATTTATTGAGAGCGGGGTACCGTGATATGGGAAACCTTGGTTGCTGATCAGAAGTCATTAAGTAGCCCGTTCACCCCTATCGAAGCATTTATTCAGTGCGCACTGATAATCGATGGGGGAATCGATGCCTATTCCCCTTGTGCTGTGCAAAAATCAACACAAGCTTTTGCATCCCGAAGTTCCCCGTTGTATTCGATTCGGACCAAATATGAAGGAGAGCAAGGATAAGAATGGAGGGAAGAACCTCGAGGGGGAAGCTGCAGCAAAGGCAAAGGATACTGGCAGTCAGCCTACCGGACGTGCAAGGAGCAGTCTAGAAAGGATGGGAGAGTGCAGTGAAGGACGTCATGCAACGTGCAAAAGAAGCATTGAGAAAGACTCTAGCGGATTTAGGGAAGACAAGGCAGCATCGTTTTGGAACGATGAAATTCAAAGTGGAGTATGTAAGAAAGAGACGTGTTCAAGCACTGGCAGAAGATGCGAGATCCAGAAGGCCTAGCCGTCTGCAGAAGAATACGAAAATGGACACCTTGTATGAGGAGCTTGTTGGTCACAAAAGGGAGAATCCCTCTGACCAAGAAAGAGTGGCACCGGGCTATTCGGGAGTAGAGCGAAGTCCGTGCAAACAGCCATTTCCAGAAACTAAGTTGAGGTCAAGGGCAGATGGGAAGAATATCTCGATGGGCTGCAAGACGAGGAATTCCACTGTTAAAACAGCTCCGCAGCAAAGGCAACTGCACTGTTAACAGAGGTCTATCAAGCAGTAGAAAAGATGAAGCTTATTAAAGCAATTGTTTAGGATGGAGTACCAAAGGAGGCGTGAAGACACTCGCAGCACACGGAGTTCAGTGGCTCACTCGACTCACTGTGGCCACTGCAGGAAGTATCTCAATTAAGTTGAGGGATACTATCGTTCCAGCAAGCGAGGGACATGATGGAGTTCTGCAACCACCACATTATCAAGTTAACTGCTCACACAATGAAACTATAAGAGTGGCTCGTTCCAATCTAGCAAGAGCAATCTCCTTTCATGCCAGAAAGGTCCACAACTGATGCCATCTTCATTGCTAAGGAAGCGTTGTAGAAATTTCGACAGAACTGTAGACCTTGTTGCCTGGGCTCCGTCAATCTGAAAAGGGATTGTACTGAAAAGAAGAAAAAAAAGGGTGATATAGAAAGAAGAGAAAGCGAAAAAAGAGAAGAAAAGAAAGACTAAGAAAAAGAATCAGCAAATGGAAAAGAAGGAAGGATAGCGAAGGAGAGAAAAAGAGAAATATGGAAGGAAAATAAGAAAAAAGAATAAAAACGAAACAAAAACAAGACAAAATGAAGGGAAAAAGGTAAAAAAGGGCAAAGAAAAGCAGAGCCGAGTGAGGTCAGTGTTTGTGAGTTCACGCCTACACTCACGACGAAAAGCACGAGTTCTATCACTGCAGAATGAGAACCGTGCTCTCCCAAACAAGCAAAAATGGTTTCGGCACAATGCATCAGTCCAAGTATAACAGGTCGGCTAATGGAGAACTCTTGTCAGAAAAAAGTCAGAAAAGGTATCGAAAAAATAAGCAAACGTAACAGTTATAAATTGAGGACTGAACGGTCTCAGCAAAAGAAGTCAGTTCAAATTGGACTTCGAAATGGAAGTTAGGTCGCGTACATGAAAGTCCCGAGAAGATGCTGTTCTGAGGTGTAGGGACACTCAGGTCCTCTGCTTTCAGGAAACACACTGGGAAGGAGCAGAGGCTAATTAAATCGGTAAAGGTGTCATGCTCTCCTTCAACGGGTATGGCGTACTTCAGAGACTCTGTCCTCGTTGTCAACAGGATTGGGGATCGNATAAATACGAAGTATGGGTGATGGACAATAATACTCGTGTATGCCCTCAAGCCGGCTCAAGAGAGCTTCATCTGGACCTTGACGAGACCATTACATTAGTTCTGGAATGAACTATCTCGCCATAGCCGGTGATCTACATAAATGAACTCGTTGGCATGGAGCAAGGGACCAGGAAAGGATTCACGGCGGCAAAGAAATGGGAGCCCGAAACAAGAAAGGAGAATGGCCTTCCACTTGGTTACGGCCCACTTAGCCGTCTCTTCCTCAAAGGAAAGACTCAGAAGATGACCCAAATCGCTCCGCACCTCGTAAGCTGTACCGTGAAGAAAAGGAAGGCCTCAAGTTATAGGTTGTACGGGCCTATACCTGAATGTGTAGCGGACTTAGGAATACTTCTGTGGAGCAGAGTATGTAATTATATAAGTTTTTTAACAAGTAAATACAAAGGAAGAATACAAGAGAGGGACAGAGGAGAGGATAGGACGAGAGGGCAGGTAGTAGCCTAGGCAAAGGGTCGGGAATAGCCTTGGCGGAGCTGATGAAACCCTTGCGGCTGTCTCGAGCTGGGGCATGACTCAGCATAGCTGACCTATGACTCGACATCTCCATTCCTTACAGAAAGCTCGTCCTCGAGCTTTGAGGACCGATCCGTATGATGTTAGCATTTGATGAGAGATGTGCGGACATAGAGGAAATTGTGAGTGCAAAAATTTGCGAGAAAATTGAACAGCCAAACGAGACAAGACGTTGATACAGGATAGAGGCTACCCTCACAAAAGGCTAGTGTGCCACTCGTTCGGAAAAAAACTCGTCCTCGAGTTCGAACATTTTAGAATTTCGTGGTAATGGATATGGGTGTGGAGGAAATGTAATATATGTGATAGGAGATTACAACAGTGTGATATTTCAGTTATGCTTATACATTATAGCTTACGTTTTGTGATANTGGGTTTTACATCAGTTATACAATATGGTTCTTTACTTGTCACAGACAGCATGGTAAATATTATCAATGTGATTCTTAGATGTGACAATATTAATGCGTGTTTGAATAAGCATATACTTCACTTGCACATGATAGTCAGCTTTTGCACAATTCTAATTACCAGCCTAGTTAAGGTATGCGAATAGTAGAGTAGTAAACTTGGCGAAGCGTATATTAGTCTGGGTGGGATTCGACTAATATACGGACAAGTAAAAATACTATGATACGAATACTAGTCTTGGCACTGCACACTTTTTGGTCGGCTAGTATAAGAGCGTAATTTTGATATTACAACGAAAGAAGAATGCTGTGAATTGTTTTCTTGAACCGCCCATTCAGGGAAATGTGTTGGTAAGAGGATGTGAAGTTACACTAGGAACTTTGACTTACCCGGGGTTGTGTTCAATCATAGTAGTCTGTTGAGCTTTGCCGTTGCTGCTTCTGAAGGCGACGAGAACGGCGTATTCATGGTTGCTCAATGCTACTCGATGCTTCTATATTTCTATATTTTGTTCAAATGGTTATGTGATGTTTGTATTATATTAGAAGCTTCAAGTGGCATTGAACGAGGAGAATACAGCTTCAAACGGTTAATATGAACTGCTTGTCGCACTGGGCGACCTACAAGGTTAGTGATCGTTATATTGGGGTGGTTGTTTTCCAATCACAAAGGGGTCTTTCCACTGGTTTGTGAGTTTGGGACGAACTGCGTCGTCATTCAAAAGACTAGGTCTCCANTGGAAAGATCCTTTGGGTATACCTTATCATGTTGATCGTAGCCCATCTTGTATTGTGCAGTTTTTGGAACGATCTCCTTGTCCACATCCATAACGATATTCTTCAAGCCAAAGACGAATTGGTCCACGGAGTTGTTAGATGTTAGTGCTGTGGAGGGAGAAAATTCATGGAGTATGTTACTCCATGTTATAGAACATCGTCCATATACGGAAATATGAGCCGTAGTTTTCATCCACATGGGGAGCAACAATTCCGCTTCATCGTGCATGGTGTAGAACAAAAAGTTGTATATTTGTTTCATCCATTCATACATTCAACTGAGTGCGCCAATAGGGGGATCTAAGGACAGGTTTACAACTACAGAAGAGCCTAACCAAGATCAAAATAAAACGAGCTGAGCTGAGCCAGCAGTGACGATCCGCAGAATACTAGTATCTGTACTAGAGTAGAGGTGAAAAAGAGCTCATCTACGGGGACTGGGCCACACACGCTACAATAGCTGAACTGACAGCCTTGAAGAGGGAGAATCCAGATAGCCAGNACCCGCACCTGTTGGCCATGGTGTGTCATCAGAGAAGGAGTCACAGGACAAAGTCGGAACTTCGGCACACGGGTATGCCAACCTCCCTCGTAGAACCGACTTTTCGGATACTAGCAAAAGACAATAAATGAACAAAAGGCTAGGCGCAGATTCAGCATGGAACAGTGAGTGGAGAGAAAGGGTAAACATGACTAAGCTGAATGGAGCAGCGGACCGAGAACCCTAACTCTCAAAAGAGGGCGGAAGGAAGAAATCGAAACGATCAAGATTTGAAAGTGGAAATAGAACATAGAAAGAAAAGAAAAGAAAGCAAAAGAGGCCCAATCAATGCTACGTAACAAGCAGCGAAATAGGAATGCTAAGGGCAACTCAGTGACATACAGCCAACAAACAGGAGGAGTGAAACAAAAACATCGATGTCAATTCTACTTGAAATAATATCCGGTAGTCGATGTAAGCACTATACTGTGTGACACAATCCGAAAAGCTGGAAAGAATATAGCAAGTCATTTGCCACATCATCCTCTCATCACACGGTGGTGCAACAAGTAACAGAAAAAGCTACTAAGCGACCTGTAAATAGCAGACTAGAAAGAGTTCAATAGACTAAGTCAAGGAGCTGAAATAAGTTGATCTTCCTCAGTTTAGATTTGAAGGCCTTACCATTGCTGGATTGAAGCACTTCCCGAGTGAGCTTCTCCATTCACCTTGTGATTCGAACGAAAAAGGAATTAAACGACAACGAACTAGTTACTCTCTGAAATCCCTCACAGTGCAGGGTGAAGCCATCAGATCTCGCTTTACTCGGTTGAAAAACCCAGTATTTACTAGGTGTAAGCTTAAACTCACCGCGAATAATACGGAAGCATAGCGTAAGATCATTGATAATCCGCCTGTGTCTAGGGCTCACCAACCCAAACACTTTCAGGCGTTCCTCGTAGCCGGGGATTAGGTGGTATTCAGTATTCGGAAGTATTCGGAGAAACATTATTCTTGTGAAGGTTTGCTGGACTTTATATTGAGAATATTTTGATTGTATTCTCAAATTCATGGGAAAGTTCCTTAAGTTGTGTAGTGAGGAATTCAAATACGGGACCATATTTTGAAATTCTCTGGCTTCCTAGATTTCTTTGGGAGGGGGAAAAGATGGCGCTATGATCGAGTTAACACGTGGTGAAGGAGGAAAGCCCAACTAATCACAAATATGTTGTGCTTTCCTGCGCCGTATTCTATCACAAATATCGTTGGATTGGATTGCAATCCGATATTTAGCGAGACTAAAGGCCTTACTAAGTCAGATCGGTGCATTAGCGATTTGAGAAGTGCGTGATCCATCACCAGCGTGATACGCGCATTAGCTACATATGGGTAAAATTGCTTCAACGCGAATATTTTGCCAGTG